AGGAAGAGTGAGGTTGATTGACAGATTTTCGAATCGTTGGAAAGATGGTTTAGCTTAACGTGAGTGTAATCTTTGCAATAGTTACTGTCTCCGTCCGTTATTACTATTATTATTAACAACTGCAGATATGGTAAGTATGTTGTGTAAGAATTTATGTTACAATCTTTCCCGTCAGTGATTGCCTCAAATTCGTCCACAGAAATTGCAGCTCATGAGCTATATAATATCCTTCACAGTGGGAGATTTTGCAGGTGTGTTTTTCCAACGTCTAGTTGGACGGTGAGTCATGCTTTCTATCCGTTTTATGCAATAATTCATTCCTGTTGGTTGGAAGTGCCTCACAGTATTGTGTTGCTTACCTAAATTATCCATTTCTGGCTCCGACGAAATTTCCAAGTACCTGTTAAGGGACAGGTATGCTGCGCTGTAGCCCGTTCTGTCTGGATATATGGCTGTGGGATATGACCGTTGAAGGTAGAGGATGTGAAGAGACTACAGGTTCTCGACCACAGGTGTCTTCGCAGCATGGCTCGCGACGGTGGAATCACTGTGTGAGTAGTGTAAATGTTAGGTGTAGAATGCTAGGCAGGTCAGTTAATGAAGTTGTAAAGCTTCAGCGACTGAGGTGGTTTGGACGCTTGTTTCGCACGCTGCCCCATCATCTACATGGATAAGCAATGCTGGGAGAAGTTGGACTGGGTTGAAAGAGCTGAAGATGTAGCGGTAGTCGATGAAGTGTCTAACTGTTGTTCTGAGTCGTGTGAAGTGTGGACCGCTTGGTTGGGTTTCTCGAGATGATGGGCGTCAATGATTAGAGTGATATATGGGTGAAAGTCGGTGAAAACGGCACATATGTACTGATATCCCCAATCGTAGCGGATATATTTATTATGTATAGTTGAGAAAATATGACCCTGCGAACAATTAATCCTGCACCTAGGATATGGTGGCAATATGTGCATGACACATTTACTGTGTTGAAATCAGAACACGGACAATTTCGTGACACATATAAACTCAGTAGAGTAGGTGCAACCCGGTTCACCTATGTGGTAGAAAACGAACAAGGAGAATTAGCTGTATTGGATTCCAGAGTAAACCGAAGAACAGGCGGTGGTTTAGATACCACCGTCTACAGGCAACCGACACGTTCTAACAGGTACCTAGACTTCAAGTCATCTCATCTAGCATCAGTTAAGATGGGTTTAGTTAAATGTCTAAACAATGGAGCTAGGAAACTCACTAGTCAGTGCAGCGGCTTGAAAAGAGGGTTGAAGCACATGAAAGAAGCGTTGCTAATTAATAATTATCCTGTACAGTTCATCGAGAGACTCGTGCTAAACCACAGGAAACTAAATACTGGTAGTAATAGGAATACAAATGATGGCAGCAAAACTAGTAGGAAGGAGTTCAACGCCTCTATCGTGTTACTGTATAAAGAAGGGATATCGGAAATTTAAGGTAGTATTCTCAACAAGACTGGAATTAGAGTGGTAGTTAAACCAACAAACTCACTCTGTCGGCTTAAGGATCCGATAGATCCAACTAAGCAAAATAATCTTATCTACCGAATTTCATGGAATGAATGCAAGGCCTCGTGCATAGATAAAGATATACAAAATGGGGGGAATGACATGCCCGAAATATTTCTCGACTTGCTTGTAATTCTCCGTTGTTTCACTGGATCGAGTTGTTCGACCTCTATTGGCATGTAGGCCCTATATGCCGATGTTTCGATATGGCCTGAATGTCAATTATGATAGTTTAATTGGTTGTGGCTAGCAGAGGAATCCAGGACTCGCATTTCATCCTGTTTGGGACTCGTCAGCTGGATGTGCCTGCATCCTAATGAGTGATACTGTTCCCACGGTGACTTGGACCTCGTACACACTGCTTCAGACGAAAATCAAGTAAATTATCATATTTAGTATTTAGGCTATATCGAGGTATCTGCATAGGTTCACATATGCCAATAGAGGTCGAGCAATTCGATCCGGTAAAGCAACGGGGGATTACAAGCATAGCTATCAGTAGTAATAAACAACACCTGTTTTACAAGAGTCGACTGTCATGCCTCAGTGGCGTAATGGTTAACGCCCTGGCTTTTGAAGTGGTGGGTGCGGTGTTGAAGTCTCAATGGGGACGATATCACTCACTGGGGTGCAGATCCTGGGATCAAGGATAGGTTTAGCGCTTGCAGAAAAGGGGAATATGAGGTGATAAGACTATGAAACCACATTTCGGAAGTTGTGTGATTACACTGATATGATTATCAGCAGCAGTTTATGCTGGAATCGTTACTGAGCGAACAATGCTGTAGTACTGTGCGTTTCATATCAAATAAGATATGCAATATGGAATTGTTCCTTTGTCCATATTTTTCATTTACACCACATCAATTTAAATTTTGCTCCTTCTGCAAAATAAGTTCTTTCCGTACAAGTATGGCTTTTGCAGCCCCGCGACTAGCTTAATTCCAGCTTTTAAGCACCCTCATATTGTCTCACTTCGCACTTGAAATTGTAATATTTCCTCCACTATTCCGAAAGATAAGAATCTTTAAGTATGCATTCAGATGCCATGTACTCAATCTTTTCATGGACTACGTTTAGAGCAGTAGGAGGAAGCTGTGTTAGCACTAGATCTATAAATTCGTAATTAGGATGACTTAGGGGCAACCCAATCGTGAAACATAGATTTTTAACCCTGCCCACTACATCGCTTTCCTATGCTAATCTCCGACGTGAGTCTTGAGGAGGACACTCAGAAGTAAAACTTGAGCATAGTAAGACGAACATTAGTCATAACTTTCACTCCGTTGGCGTTGGTAAGGCCTGGAGTGCTCTCTTAGAATGGCTTTGCAGGCCTTTATATCAATTCCTTCAAACATGAACTCTTTCTGCATTCAAGGTATCGGAGTGAGCCTAGAGTCTAAGTTACCCATCAGCTGCTTTTCCTCTATTATAACTATTCTTTTATTTGTTCTTTGCATCTATAATTTGATTTTGGAATGATTGATTCAGTGAAGTTAGTGCTATTGTTTAGTGATGAACGAAGGAGAAATGGAAATTCGGACCGCGGCTGGATTCGAACCGGCGACCGCCGGTTTAGTGCTCATGTTGTCTAGAAAGACAGGTGAAGCTCCACAGTTGTACCTGGGTTCTCACAAACGGAGGGTGGTGGTTAGCTGATTCTGGACCCTGAAGCTAGTTGCTTGAAAACTTTTCCTTCTCTGTCAACAACAATTTAAAACCGTACTAACCTTCAAGCCCAGATTGGAGACGTTGCGCGGAGACCCCGCCTCTGTCGGACACCCTATCACAGAGGGACTAAATCATATAGAGTTTAAACCCTCTGTAATTATGCAAATATTAAAGAAACTGAACCCGAATAAGTCTCCAGGAATCGATGGTATTCACCCAAGGGCACTCAAGGAGTGCGCTGAAGTTCTGTGTGTCCACTAGCAAACCTCTCTAAATGCTCGTTTCTGGAAGGCAGGTTACCCTCTGATGGAAACGGGTGGCTGTCGTCCCAATTTATAAAGGTGGAAACAAACTACTTGCCTCCAACTACAGACCAATCTCCCTGATCTCTTCATTTGCGAAGGCCATGGAGAGTCATAAATGACTCACTACGTGATCACTTACTCCAGAAATCAATCCTAAACGACTGTCAGCATGGCTTTCCACCAGGAAGGTCACGTGACACCAACTTTTTGATACCTTGGAATAGCTGGACACTCTCTGTAGGGAAGAAAAAGCCTATACACATTGGTTTACTTGACTTTTCTAAGGCCTTTGACAGGGTAAATCATGATATCCTTTGTAAGAAATTCCAGCTCATGGGTGTACACGGAAAATTATTAATTTGGCTTAGAGATTATCTGTACACCAGGGTGCAGTCAGTTAGAGTCGGCTCCTCTTTATCTGACTGGTTCTGATGCTGAGTGGTGTGCCTCAAGGTTCCATACTGGGCCCACTACTGTTTCTTGATTTTATCAATGACCCACCAGGGGTCCTTAATTCACATTCACTATTATATGCTGATGATCTGAAGATCTGGAGGGGAATACAGGAACCAATGAATATTTCGATCTTCCAGGAGGACCTTACGAAAATCCTTAACTGGACTACAGAAAACCTGCTTCCTCTCAACTCGAAGAAATGTCGAATTATGATAGTTGACAAACATAAGGGCAACACCAGTTCTTACTCTCTAGGTGAAACAAATATACGTCACTCCAACATGGAACAAGATCTGGGAGTTACACCAAATGATACACTACGAGCCTCTGATCACCGCCACCTTGCAGCCAACAGGGCTTATGGAATCTTGGCGTTTCTCTCGCGAACCTTAGGGTGTCTAACTCCTCTTTTCACCACAGTGTACTCTCCATACATTCGTCTTCATTTAGAAAAAAATTCGCCTGTAATGTCCCCATACTTGAAAAAGGACATAGCCACCCTAGAACGGGTACAGAGAAGAACTACAAAGAAAGTGATTGGGTCACGACACAAACCGTACCCATACCACTTAGTTGCTCTTCAGCTGCACCCAGTGCAACACCGGAGGATCAGAGGGGATATGACCATGATGTACCTCATCGCACATAATCCCCTCCATCCCAGCAGGTCCCTTCCAAGCTTTAGTCGGAAACTCGGCTTGGGGGGTCACCCGTTAAGTATAGAGCATGACAGAGCACGTACAAAGATCCGTGCTAACTCATTTGCAGTTAGAGTCTGTAAGTTGTGGAATTCCCTCCCTTCAGCAGTTGTTACAGCCCCATCCCCTGATACCTTTAAAAGGAGGCTAGACACACACCTTGAGTCCTACGGTACCGATGGGCTATACCCGATAAGCTTTCCCAAGATCAGACGCAGTGATACCAACTTGAGACCAGATTAATTAATTAATCGTATCACTATCCTTTCAGGTTTTTCAGAACCGGGAAGATAACTGCGACCATTCTAAACTCAGAACGTATTCCAATAAGATAGAGGCAGAACCCAAGGAACCGCAGTTCGCTAATTCTACAACAAGAAGTTTGAAGTTTGACCTACTTATGTGTGGCTCAGTCATAGCCAACCTGCTTTTCTTATTTCAGTGGCCATTTTTTCTCTCTGTTTATTTTTGAATACGTTTGTAATCAAAAGAAAATATGATTCACTGATTCTGAACATAGAAGCCAGTTAAGCGAAAGTTTCTATTCTGTTACCAACTGTATAAAACAATTGGAGGAATAACATAGTAAAGGCGGTATTGCAAGATGAACGCTGCCTTTGTACAATTTCCAAATTGGAATTGAGGAAGGTAGGTGTTTTCTCTGACTTAATGGCTTGAAGTTGTATGTATTTGGATGAAATCCATTCTAAAGGGAATTAGCAACTTTGTCACCGAAACCTTTTAATGTTCTGTAGGTACGCCTTGTTCGAGTAATATTTCTGTTCTCTCCAACATCAATAGTGTGAATAGAGGGAACATGTAGTTTTCAAGCTCTTGCGCCTATGTCTTGAAGCCCAGTTATTTTTGTTCGGGTATAGTACTCCGGTCATCGCATGGGTTTTGATGCTTCTTTTGCTGATGGCTTAAGCCCTCCAAATTTGGAGGGTAATCATCGTCCATGTGGTTTTTTTTGTGAATTGTAGCTTGGTTTGTTTGAGGAAGCAATGAAGCTGCTGATAAAATCAGTTAACCGCCTACATTTCCTGTTTTGGGAGCACCTGCAAGTAATTTTCAAGCGTCACTTGAGAAGTAATGCTATAAATAGGGTGAGTAAGGGATGAGAAAAAGGGGAGTGAATAGTACTTGTGGAGAAGGGATGGGTCTTGTTGGAGATACTAGGGCTGGGGAATACAGGGATGGATGAGCATATCTTCAGTTGCTACCTACGAATGTCCGTTGTAAGCCGTTTTCGCTCACACACTTATCCAGCAGTCGTTTGGAGGAGTCAGCTAGTATAGCTGTGGCTACTTCCTTTGACAGAGAGTTCCATAAGGCACATGCGCTGTGTGAAAAGTAGTTGGATCTCACTCTCATCTTTGTTGTATGGTGGAGTAAGCGAGTGGGGTTCCCCCGAGACGGTCGGTTTTGGGCCGATAATCATGACCTGTTGGTGTGGTCCACTCGGTGAATAATCTTGTAGGCTGTTATTGGATCACCTCGTTTCCTTCGGTAGCTTAATGAAAATGAGCTGAGTTGTCTTGGGCGTTGCGCGTATATTTTGCCTGTTAGTCCAACAACCGACCTTGTCGCCCTTCTCTGTACCTTCTCGAGAGTTTTCGCATCTCTCTTTAGTAGACAAGGGGAGAGGGCTATCGTGTTGAACACCTCTGGGTGTGGTCTAATATAGGTTTTAAATATGAGGGATAAATCTGGGGTTAACAATCCAGGTTGCCTCCTTAGAAAATGCATGATGGCGTTCGCCTTTGATGCCATCCCTTTAAAATTGTCAGTAGTATCCAGGGTCAGAAAGTTTAGCCCTAGGTTCTTCTCTGTGGATAACTTGGTGATTGCACACTTTTTGAGGGTGTATCTGGTTTTCATCGCTTCTGGTGTGCGAAGATACATCACCTTGCATTTCTCCAGGCTACAGCTTAAACCTTTCGCAGCTGATCAGGACTCTAGCTCCAACAGACCATCTTGGAGTATCCTAGGGTCGTTCCCCCTACCTATTGTCCTCCATATTTTGGTGTTGGCAAATCGGAGGATAGACGAGATTTTAACGGGAAGGTCATTGATGAATAGCAGAGATATGAGTGACCCAAGGATCGCTTCCTGAGAAATTCCTGTGCTTGCACTCCTCCAGGTTGATCAAATTCTGTTTACTTTAGTACAGAATTCTCTATCCTTTAGGTATGCTGTTAACCGTGTTATGAGTAGTTCAGCGATATTCAGTTTTGCAAGTTTAGCGAGCATGGTGTTGTGTAAGATGGTATCAAAAGCCTTGGCCAAGTCCAGAAAGATGACTTGGACTGGTTGCTTGTTGTTCCATCTAGTGGCCCAGTCATCCCAAGCGGTCATCAAGTTTGTGGCACAAAACCGTCCGGTTTTGAAGCCGTTTTGAGATGGGATGAAAGATATTTCCGTTCAGGTAGTCCCAAGGAACATCTGCAACCATACTTTCTAGTACCTTGGATAGTATAGAAAGTGACGCTATTGGTCCGTAATTTCACGGTTTTTTTCGGTCTGCTCGCTTGAAGATTGGTGAAAAGAATAAAGGTAGTTGACTTCAACAGGTGCGTGGACAGATTGTATATAGGTATGCTTAGCGCTTCGACACTATTTTGTAAGACCACCGATCTTGACAGCCAACCGCTACCTTCATTAAAATTATCCTCTATAGGCCATCAAAGTAGTGACCTACGTTATGGAACTAAGGCTTGATAACTTTGATATACATCGTGTGAAGGTCAGGTCTTGGGAAACAGATATATCGCGCTAAAGGAAGTATATTAACTGTTGGTCCCAATCTGAACACGTGTTTTTTAAATCCCTTTCCTGGTTATCCCTACCTCCCACGGGGGTTTCATGTATTTCTAGTCGAATACACTGTAACTTACGTTTTCCAGGGGCTGAAACGCAATCTGCATTTCCGGAATATACGCGGTTAAACTAAGGCGTTTCTCAACTTACCTAACAATCCAGAATAACTTCCAGCCTCAACAAAGTGATCCTAATTACTTGTGGGGAATACTGAGTCAGCACCTCCTATCGGTGGCCTAAGTGCCAATGATTGTTGCCCTCATGAATGTTAATTTTCTTGGGCACTTCAATATCGATTTGATGAAGCCTATAATATAGGACAATATCCAGGATACAGATGTGTAATCGATATGCAATGCTAATAACGTAGAATGGTACTTCATTAGGTTCTGTTCGTTTATTTGAAAATATGTGAGATAATAAGTCATATAGAACCATACAACTGCTGTTATGATGATTTGGAAGTGCGACATGTTAACAACGTTTTACGAAATTAGCGATAGCATGGTTTACTATCCTACATGCACAATTAATGAATATCAAGCATAGATGTGATAGTAAATTCTTTTGATGCTTTTACTGCAATATATTTTAAAATTATTCCCAATAGTGATAACCTTTTCCTCAATCATCATCAAACAGTCAATAGCAACATGGGACTTAGTATTACAGCATATGAAATCAACATATCCAGGATAGAAGGTAACAGAATGAAAGATGAAGAAATGGGGGAAAAAGTGGTAGGTCGTGGAAAAAGACTAAAGTAGATAAAACAATAACCCACCTCAGCATGATGATTCAAATCAAAATAGGGTGTTTATGGAATTGGATCACTGGGATCGATTCTTATGAATATCACATAAAGCTCTTAACCATCGGTTTCCATTGGCTTGCAGACCTCAACCAGGAAGTCTACATTTTTCTACTCGGTGCGGACCAAATCAAAGACATTATGGACTAATGCCATGTTTTGCTTGGTCTCCTCTAAACTTTCTCTTGTCTAAACTTACCTGAGTAAACATTCACAATTAGGTAGACTGTGACTAGCCATGCGCAACACATGTCCTAGCCACCTGAGTTGCTCAAGGTTTACAAACTCAACATATGACTTGCGTTGCTTGCTTAGACTTCTACGCCTGATTCCTAATTTGATGATGTAGTGGTTCCAAAATACACGTCCTCTGTTACGAGGCTAACGACAGTTGGACACCTAAAACTTTCTCGTATCCTCTACCTTTACCACTGCAGCGCAGCAAATTCAGGCTGTAATACCCAATGAGACTTCAGACCATCACCATAAATGGCGTAAGCTAGCGAAGTTAGAACAAGCCTTCTGTATCCTTAAAGAGGTATTATAAGTCACTGCCCCATAACGGCTAGTACAGCTTCTCGTTTAAGTGCCGGTTGACACATTCAATCATCTCACTTAATTAGGGAAGCTGGACCAGCTGGAATGGCACCCAGGAAGATTTCAAAGTATCGCGTGTTACGAACCGACAGCGATAATCGTCCCTTTCAGTTTTTTTCTGATTATCACTTGTTTCAAGCTAACACTAACTTCAAGCATAAGGTGAAACAGTCTCACTTGTATTTCCCCTACATCAAACTAATGGGAATTCGGTAGATCATATTGTTATAAACCATCTTTGGAGGACTCCTGCTCTTTCTGTAGTATCTGTTTGAACTCTTATCACGTGTTAGTACGAGCGTGTGTCTGCATCTTACTGCTCGCAAGAAGCAGGCAGCGGTAAAGCCCGTGTGTGCAACTGGGAGATGGAAACACCGTGTTTGTTTAGGGATTAGGCAACTATGAATTTATCTGCACCTGCAGTAATTCTTTTCCTACTGAAACCTGGTGTTATATCCAGTCTGCTATAGAAAAAGTGGTAAAGACAGTCGTTAACCTGCAACAAAGGAATAGTAGAAGTCAGTAGATTTCTTGAACCTCATCTAATCTGATTGATGCCAAAAGACTCATTCCAAGTGCTTCTGACCACAATCAACTGCAACGTAAATCGAGTAAGTTTTCACAGTGATCGTGAGCAGTAGTGAGTGGCGAAAACGAAAGAGATGGAGGCGTCAACATTGCATAGTACTACTTAATTATTTCGGTTTATCTAGGATACTGGCAAAAAAAGACTATGACTAGTGAAACCATCACTCGAAAGAATAGATCTGTAACCACCTCAGGACAGCCGACAGAACAGTTCAACTAGCCCACAGCAGTGCTTCAGTTACTCAGGATCCACCTCTAACCGAAATAGGATATTGGTCCTCCAACTACCCCTGAAGTTGAGGAGCCCGTTTCAAACCTGAGACTGCAAAGCACCAGCATCTAATGGTTTTCCACTGGGGGTTTTGAGAAATGAAGGTAGGAAATTGCTCATCATCACCATCAATATCAACATAGGACCAGGCATTACTGCGTAACGGTCCGAGTTGCTACAGCTCAGTGCAGTACATCAAGTAGAAAGGTAGTGAGGTGAGGGATGAAGATAAGAGAATGCAGTCAAAAGAAATATAAAGTACGAGGAGAAAGGAAAGAGGAATGACAATGGTGAGATTCGGTATAGCGTCGTTAAGATGAGGGTAATAAGTGCATACATCTGCACCACTGACATCGCTTCTGAGCCATATCCCCTAGAGTCCCCAACCACTGGTTCCTCTTGTCCCGCGGACCCCAACCACATAGTCTGCATCGCCCCACATGGCTCAAACCAACAGTCAGAGACTTCATACATTGGTGCCATGTTTTAGTCTGGCAACCTCGGGCCTTTTCCAGCCTGGACCTACTTCGGCCAACATTGTGTGACGAGACAGTCGGTGAC